ACGGGCCCATTAGGCCGAATTTGGTTGGTCTTGTGTCATTTGATGAAAAATATCTCACCACACCCATTTTTGGGAATAGAATGGCAGCAAAGAGGAAATTCTAAGGACCACGTGTCAGGGACTGAAATACAGGTACCGGAAAACCTAGGGGTCATTTTGGAGCAAACATCAAATACAGGGACCGATTCGTAGATTCCAGAAATTTCAGGGCAAGATTTACATCTACTAGAAAATATAGGGACTGTTTTTAACATTCCAAAACAATCAGGAACCATTTTGCGGGTTGACAAAAAATTGTGGACCAACAGGCCGACTTCAGAATAATCAAGGACCAAAACTCAAAATCCAAAAAATTTAGGGACGAAGTTTTTAAATACTGTGTGCTTCAACAATCAACTGAAGTATTTGTTTTAGGAATGGAATGAAGATCAACTCTATAGGGGTGATACTGCATGGTCTTAAGAGCCATCTACTTGTAGGGGCAGACATAGACATTTTGAGTTTGAGAGCACAATCTAACTTGCAAAAAAGTCGTGAGGAATTTTACATTCGAAAATTTAAATAAAAAAATTATGCCCCATGTAATTTTACATCCGAAAATTTACATGGAGTGTGAATTATTCGGATGTAAAATTTTGATGTCATGTCCAGTGTAAAATTTACTAATAAAATGAAGTAAATTATATTGATAAATTTGTATCACAAAAACACTAATAATTGAAATTTTTTAAAGAAAAACGAGTTAGACTTCTCTTTTCATGATGTACGTTTGACGTATTTTTAACTATTTTTGATATCTTTTTTGACCATTCGATATACCTATGATGTACTTTTCGAAACGAATTTTGAGATGACATATATGATTTGTGGATTCGTCTAGCGTATGATTGTCAGATAATTTTTAAAGTTAGCACATTACCAAAGTTCTCAAAATACTAGTTTGGAGCTAGGCCGTGAGTATTTCAAAATGGTATAAGAATGCAATATTTTGATTTCGTTTGACATCTCGTAATGACTTCGAAAATTAAAAATAATAATAATAATAATAATAATAATAATTGGCCCTAAAGTTGGGGGGTCACGTGACCCCATGCCCACACTTGTGTCCGCCCCGGTCTACTAGAGATTAATTTCAAGTATTTCCATGTAGTACCTCCTAAACCTGCATGGAATTTTGTTGTGATCTGCCTCATTGGAGAATATAGATAATTAAGATTCAATCAGCTCAATAAGCCTAGATAATATGAGTAAGTAGTACGGGGAGAAATGAAATGAAAGAAAAAAATCATGTTGATATGAATTGTATGGGACTTGGAGGAATGTATGAGGAGGGCACATGACATGAAGACCTACTAAATACATCGAAAGAGGTGACGGTGCACTTGAGTGACATGTGGTTGGTGATTTCATGGATTTGATAAATGTAGGTCGATCCAAAAATATGTTTTCGATCGTTCTACCTAAGGATGAGCGAATATCACCGGGATGCTTTTGGATATGTTTATTGATGTAGCGATCAATATGAAGAACAAAAAATAACAATCCTAAAAACACGTTGATTTACAAAAAATCACCATGAGTTTAGGAATTTGAGTCATGCACGAATATTGAATAATTACTTCGATAAAAAAATCATTTATTCGACTGTAGTATCGAGATCGAATTGAAAAATTGATTAAAATCTCACGATTTTCATAAAATTCAATAAAAAATATCACATTCACTCGCTATGGTGGTGTATCCAACAATAAAAATCCAATCACCACGAATTCCGCATGCCTCATTCGAGGATCTTGGGTCCGGTCTCCGCATTAAAAAATGGAAGACCTTCATAATTCTTATCACCCAACTACACAATTTCTTCAACATCCTTGTTGAATATCGAAGGGTAACCATAATCCTCAATAAACATAAATTTACTTTATGGTATTGTTCTTTGACTTATTTAGACAACACTTGAACTCGACGCATCTCATTCTCTACTACCTTGTTATGGGGTTTAACTTTCTCCTCATATCCTACTTCTGTTGATCTAATGCGAATCGAGTAAACTCCTCCTTTGAGGCCTAAATCAAGTCTAAACGCATTTAAAATCATATCGAACATATCAAAGCCACAAATAATCTTTTCGTCCCATTCAAATTCCTTCAATACTTTTTTCCAATCCACTAATCTTGTCTAGCTATGTAGCTATTGAAATCCAAAGTCAGCCTGGTCCACTTTACTATTATTAATCGTGCTTTGTTCTGTAAAAGAAGAAGGGATCAAAAGCAATCTTTTTATCGCACTGAGAAATTTGATAAAAATCTTTCTTAATTTTGGTACCGTTTGACTATCACAGTGGCTAATGAAATCCACCCATTTTTACTTCAATAATTGAATTCGCTGATTTTGATGAACTTTAAGGGCCATCTGACATTTAATTAAAGCCCATCATTAAAAGTCTTTGAGATTCTCAAACATATCGAGAATCTCATCATTTTTCTTCATCAAATTGAGAGCTCTTAATCATAATTGTGCGATATATTTGATTTTATATTTATTTATTTATGTGAATATTTTTATACGCGAATTATTTTTTTAAGATCAAAGCAATCCTAACTCGCTTCAAAAACGACTCTGATTTCTCAGAGAGGTCTCGCAAATAGCATGAACGCACAGCGTCCGAGGAGAATGTTCATTTTTCTTTTAGGTCGGTCAAGAAGTTCAAAATGAAAGTAGATAACCACCATCGAGTTAATATTAAAAAAAATCATATCGAGACAAGACATGATGAAGCAAGCGGCATGAGAACGACTGGACAGAACAAATGAATTGAGAACTACGTTGTTGTTTTATATTTAAGTAAGATGAGATGTCAATTTGACACACTTCAATGAATTTACTAGATTTTGTAGCCTACAACTTCCTCGAGGCCTTATCGCCTAAAGTGGGGTACTACACTTCAAACCAAACAAGTTGACCTAGAACTCATGACTACATTTAGAGCAAACTCAACCCTTAATTTAGAAGAATTCTAATATCTAACTAGATCGTCTACCGTATATACCCTAATTCAACAAAATCTTAAAATCAACTCAAGTAAGCTTGAACAACCATCACGAAAACCTTTACAAAGTGGCGATAGTCGTTCAAGAAGACACCGTACCACCAACCACGCTCAAATAAAATCAAGATCATGATTCGTCAGATGAAAATAACAACCATCAAACAAAAAAGTTCGAAAGACAACGTCTTAACTATAAAATAAATTTAACTATGAACTTCATATATCCTTAATTTCTTGATAATGTTGCATGAAAAGGGACATTATATAGCACGTTTGTTATGTCACACTGAATTCTTAGAAGTAGTTCGAATATTTTTTTCTCTAATTATCTCAATATAATTCAAAGTATTAGTAAACAAGGGTGGAGCCCAAGTGAAAGGACAGAATGCAGGCTACTTGACTTTATCGAGAGACCACGTAAGGGCATGTAAAGCCTGCTTAAAGGGGAACAAGAATCTCCTCAAAAGCTAAAGAATGGAGCCTAATAGGAGATAAATCAAAGTGTGATTACCTTTTGACCACTTATTTTTCCTACTTAACCATGCCATGAGAATGTCAATGAAACCAACTCATTGAAAGATGTTATCGCAAAGCCTAGGGAATCCTATGTGAACAACGATATAACTTTTGTTAATTGTGTTTATGTGTGTGTGTATATATATATAGGATAAAGCTACTTGTACATAATTTCTTGTACATAAGGGTAATTATGTACAAGTAGCATAGTCCACATATATATATATCAAGAGAATATAATCGTATGTTATTCTAGACATTACTGACGACTAGTTTAGTTTACAATTAAGAAAAGATCGGTAATTGTACATTTACACTCCAATTGACCGAGTACACAATTCGAAAGACGATACTAGTGAAAAATACCCTTTTATAGGTTAGCTTATACCAAGTATTATGACCAAATCTCACATCGCAAGTCAAATTTATAGTAATAAATTAAGTACGAATTTTATTATTTAGCATTAACATTTTGTCAGACGTGAATGCAAAACGAAGATAATATACATGGTGGAAAAGGAAAAGTACAAAATAGATAGAGAATGTCGTGTCGTTAATCTCACCAAGGTGAAACCTTAACAACAAATCCATTGTCGATGCTCTATGTGACACATGATATATTTTATGTTGATTAACTACTGATTTTTTTTTTTTTTTTTTTAAGAAGAAGACTTAGCGCATGTTTGACTCCCATCATTCCTCATTAAATTATAATTCATTTCTCTCTCTCTCTCTCTTTCTCATTTCTTATCAACCACACTAATAAAATGACATTACACGTAAACCTAAAAAAATTCATTCATTTTTAACCACACATTCTCCAAAAAATTAGTATTCTTTTTATTATAATGTGGAATAATGGGAGCCAAACTGGCGATTAATATTTTTGAATAATTTAATTAATTATTTTCACAATAAAAGTATATATCGTGATGACTACTAACTTTATTTACACTTTAGCTAGTTATATGTAGGTAATAAATCTAATAAAAGATATGTCGCGTGTGATTGTAAAGAAAAATATCCATTAACACACCCAACTATCTTTAATACAAGTGCGTAAAATATTGTGACGGCTATAAAATTAAACAACTGAAGTAAAATAAAAATGAAATACGAAACACATTGATATTCATTCATTTGAAACAACAAGAAATACAAACTCACAAAACGAAGGACTGGCTCTACGTGCAATCATGATTGACCTAAACATCCTAAAGTAAAAATCAAAATATTAAAAAATGGAAAAAACAGGAAATTGAAAGTCCCCAAAAAAATTCATCCGCTCTTGATTCTCTGTTGATCAACTTGGGGCCTGAAATTTAAATCCAATGATATATCAACTTATGTTTATTATATATCATCAAGTGCATGGAAAATCGTGAAGAAAGGAAGACACGACTTTACTCAAAAATAGAGAATCTCAATGCACGCTTTAGTTGGAAAACTTGCTGCTGGATTCCCTTGGTGCATTGCACCTGAAACACTCCATCCTGCTTGCAAAGTTATGTTCATTGCACCCTGACCTGTCATTTCCACAACAAATAAGCCAACGAAAAAAATTTACAACATTATGTTAACTGAAAAAGAATCGTTAAATCGTCTTATCAAATTATGAAAAGGTAAATTTGTAGAAGCAAATCGACTGAACACTGAAATCAATGTCTCTTGATCTTCAATGAGGTTTTACCTAGCGCAAATCCAGTCCCCAGATTTCCATCCGGAGCGGCTGCTGCCTCCGAGCCCGAACCCTCGAGCTCGAGACATTTCACTATCAAATCCTCCGCCACCGCTGCCTGAGCAGTCGTCCTTGAGGGCGCCACATTTGAAGCAGCTGGAGCGGCTGGCAAAGTTGTGGGCGCCGCAGTTGCTAACAGTGCAGTACCAGTCGCCTGGCCTTACATCTGGGCCGGTGAAGCCGAAGGACAAGGCAGCTCGTCCGCCACCTAAACTTCCGTAGTCACCTCTTTCGCCGGGCCTGGGGTCTCCACATCGCTGGCATGAGTCCCTCCTCTGGAAATTCAGGTGCTGGCATGACCTGCAGTTCCAATCTCCTGGCCTGTTCATTTTTCCCTGCTTCCATAAAAAAACACCAATTTATAATGCCCATATCCAAATATTTTGGACGGATAATCGAGCATGCTTAACAATATTCTATGGTTGAGTGTGTGATTTGATGCGAAAACTAGGGAAGAAAAGAGTTGCATGGCTGGAAAATCACTACGTATTAGAATATATAAACCCTCACCTTAAGAAAGCACAGAATTTTTAGTGGGATTTCGACTGTTTGGAGTTGCAGTTGAAGGAGAATATTGCGTAGAACTTGTGATTTTTCAGTAATGACAGGAGAATGGTTTATATACTAGCAAGTGACTCAAAAATCGAGGCAGATAGTAGTGGAGATTTGTATATAAGAGGTTTCTTTTTCCAGTCTCTCAAAATTAAAGAGAATAAAGATGGTAAATATTGTGACATTTGATAAAGCTCTAAAATGATGCTTTTTATGGATTCTTGAGTTGGGGAAGTGCATACACACAAATTCCAACAATGTCCTTCTTTTATCCAAGTTACTAGAACACTATTGTTGATAAATTTTACTAGTCGAGATTTAACTTGATAATATTTCGAATCGGTGAAGATTTCACTTACAATGGTGACGCTTTGTGGTAGTGACTAAATTTGAATTTATGCTAGAAATCGAAATTGCTTTTCCAACATGCAATTATCTTCCAGCCTCGATTGTTGACTCGATAAAGATTGAATAAGCAGAATAGGTAAAATATTTCTTGGGAGAATTGTATTGAATACTCCATTTTAAATGGTCCCACTTTAACCTTGATGTATTCTTACCTTAGAATCTTAGGGGGGTCATGTCTCCCTTTCAATATTATCCATTTCCCTGTACCAATAAAAATTGTCATTCTTTTTCTATATTTTGAATATTCTCTTTTTTTTACTTGTGCCTTGAGCTAGATAAGGCAACTAGGCAAGTCAAACGTGTGCTAATTAAGATGCAACTATTAACATTAATTTCACATATATAACTTGACTCGAACTTCGGTAAAAAGATATATGAAAATGAAAGTAACGGGATTTCGAAGAGACTTTGAGAGATCGGAAGCAATGAAACGACTTTATATGTTTCAACTTTAGTTTTGAATGGAATTACGTGACTTGAAATTTCGGAAAGTGAAAAGTGTTTATCCTAACTAATTAGTAAAAAATCTATAGGCCAATTAATTTAAGTATTCAACTTTAAGTTGTGTCACTCTTTTGTGCCATATTTAGATAATGGTATTGTATCTGAAGCAGAAATCGAAGCTCAAGTTTAAGTTGCATGGCTTGAACTCTCAAGAACGTCCATCTTTTATTGTAGTGTGCCAAAGTAGTATAATATAAATAAGAATATAGAAGTATAGAATAAATTTTGGAAAAAATCAGATTAAAATTATGAATGAGACCATAACCAGAGTGAAAATGGTAGAGTTTCGATAAAGATAAGTCGAAATTGATAGATGGAATTGAGTAGTAGTCTTCGAGGCCTAATTTGACCAAACTTTTCGCTTATATCTCTTTTCTTTTTCTCCCTCTACATTGGCATGGCTTTTTTGCTGTCAAGTTTTTTCTTTTTTTCCTCGTGATCTTTCCTCAAATACTATACTATACTATACTCATCTCTTTCTCTCTCTCTCTCGTAAAAGAGAAGCACTAGCACACCATTCTCCAAGAAGCATATGAAGAAAAGAAGAAATGATAATGGAAAAAACCTTAAGAGTGCGTTTAATTTGTATGGAAAGAAAATAAATTTTAGACAGTTCAATTGTTTATAAATTTTTTGTATTTATTTGTATGTATATTATTAATTAAATGTGTTTGATTGCTTTAATTTTCAACGTATAAAATATTATACTTGTCCAATTTTTATTGGTGAGTAGATGAGATAGATGAAATATAGAAAGAAAGAGCAAATTACCTAGAAAATAAAAACCACACCTCCTTAAAGAAAATATTTTTCTTGTTTTCAAGGAAAATATGGTCACGCGACCAAAATGAGGAAAATATTTTTCGTGAAAAAAATTGTCGATCAAACAATACAAAAATAGGAAATTAGATGAGAAAAACACATTTTTCATGAAAAATATTGACAATCAAACGTACCTTAATAATTATTTAGCCCAATAGTTATTCAAAAAGAAAAAACTAAAGTCCAAATCTTATATATTCTATAGTCTAGCCTTGTTTAGTGGTCTCTCCCTACTATGTAAAGAGAATCAACTGTTGGATATTGTTGGACAAGCTTCACGAAATAGAATATCGGATTTACTAATTGAGTACCAGATATGCAGAATATATACCGTATTAGTGAATTTTACTTAAGGTGTGAGCACGTCTTACTGAATTGAAATTCTGCCATAAGTGGAAGACTCACACCGTATTTGCCGTTAACAGAATATGCACTTACCGGATATGCACTAACAGATTCAACGACTATGAATACAATAGATTCAATTATATATACCAGATTTAATACTCTAGCAGATTCAATAATGTGTCAAATTGAAGTAAAGTATAACAAGTAATAAAATTGTAAGTAGAGATGCAAAATATAAATTTGCATGAACGAGTGACAAAACAAACACTTGCAGAAATTAAATAAAAAGAAAACTTTTAACCCGAGGCCTGTGTTACACACATTTTCCTTAAAATAGATTTGCTCCCTCACCGTCTGTGTTTGAGGTTTAAACTGAGCGTCCGTTTCCCAGGATACAATGGTGGAACCAGTAGTTTCTGAGCACCACAGATAC